TGAAGACACCATGTCATGGCCTGAGGATCTCTCAATACTGCACATTATTATTCAAAGGCATCATGGTTCAGAGGCACCATTCTCATGGCCCGAGAACATCATTTCATGGCCTGCGAATCCCTTATCTCACGATTCATGGCCCAGGACATCATGGTCTAAGGACATCATCCTCACCGTCCGAAGACAATCTTCATGGTCCAAAGGGAACTTGCATCATATTTAAATTGTCGCAATAACCTATATATATCCGCATGCATCGTGGTTTAAGTTTGCAGGTAACCCAGGAAAAACCGTTCTTCAAACAGGAGCAACCTTCGCTCCGGTTTCCGCTCTCATCATTCACACCCTGCCGTTATTTCAAACGTAACCGACTCCCATCAATTACTTGCTTTTACTCTATGACCGTTCAGATATCTGCCCTGTGATACATCTATTACATCTCAAATTCACATTCGTGACTTTTCATAAATTCATCCAATACTATCCTACTCAAAAGAACCCTTTCCGAAACACACGACCATTCCTATAACCACACCATCGGTTTCGTTCACCGTTGGATCCAGAACTACACATGGCCTGACTCCTGTAAACCCAAGGATATGTAGGCAGCTCAGAGACCAGGGTGCAGCCAATATTTTTTAAAAAACCCCATTCGGTTAAATCGGTCATCATTTCTTTACCCGACAACTCTTTCATCCTTCTTGGGTAAAGAGGGGCAGCTGTTGATACCCAATTTTTCCCTCATATTTTCAAAATAGTGCACATGCATCATCATTTGATTTACAAGCATGCACAAGTATTTTTCATAATTTTCCATAATTTTAAAAGCTTTAAATCAATTTATTTCTGTATTTTATTATATAAATATTCAATAATTATCCTTCATATTATTTTTATGATGATTTAATCATCTAAATTCATCATTTATACCAACATAATGTTTAAATATTTTTAGTGCATTTTTATAATTACATTTATATTTTTAAGGGTAAATTACACATTTTGCAATAATAGCCCATATGTACTTATGATTATATTATTTATGCAAAAAAAATAACCTTCTATATTTTTGTAGTGTTACAAAATTGTTTAAATCATTTTTATGCACAAATGATATCTTTGTTATTTATTTATTATTTTAATAAATTATTTATTTATTAAAAGTGGGTATTTAAAAACCCGCTCAATAAAACCCGACCCAGTCCCGCTCATATCCCAATCGTTGATCAAAAATGATCAACGGCTCACAAACGATCACCCCCTTTCCTTATATCTCCACCCCCAAATCCTATCCCTCATTTCCCTAATCCTGCCGCCTCTGTTTCCCTCCTCTGATGAACCCTAATTCCGCCGCCCTACTAAAATTCCCCCAAATCCCATTCCTAATGGGATTCTTTCCCCGTTCACCTACCATCTCGAGATATTTTCCTTATTTGGTGCTATTTTGCGGAATAACTTAGGTACTTACCTAAACATGGCAAGTACCCCACTTTGATTTTGTCCAAATCTATGTTTACCTCTTGAAACTGGACGACCTTGAGTCCAAACGCGTTATTTTGTACCGATTCACTCGTATCTCGCTGATTCTTACTTAACCCTAATGGTTAGGGTTTCAGATCCTCTTTTGATTCGAACCAAAACTGGTTCAGGCCTGGATTTTGAGTATTATCTCGTCATTATTCACCCAATTATGTGAGAATCTGCCTATTTTTGTCGATTTCTTTTACTTACCCTAAATTTGGGTTTCAAATCTTTTTAATCAAACCAAATCTGGTTCGACTCTGTGTTTATTTTAAATAATTTTCTGTCTATGTTCATTGTGATTCTTTGCCTGTATTTTCTGCCGATTTTGTGTATTTTTTACCTAAAATTGGGGTTTCAACTTCTTTCCTTACTGATTTAAGTGCTTGCCCCTTTTAGTGTCTGAATCAATTATTTTCCATGTTTATGTTTTAGTTTCTGCACTATTTAAACCCCTCCCCATTTCCCCTTTAAGACAGACTTGGAAGTCATTATAACCTCACTAGATCTAAAACTTTACTCTGTTATTTTTCATTTTATACTGTGGTTTTGGCCGGCTGAAAGCCAAGGCTATTAAGTTCTGGGTCTTTTGCTCCTCATTGACAATTTAGAATATTGTGGGTTTTGTTCTTTTCTTGCATTTCTCACTTAACTGGTGAGTCACTTAAACTTCTGCACTTGCATTCTTACATATCCCTGATTTGTATATGTTAGTCTTGATGAATCCATGATCCAATATGCATACGAGTAATATTTAGTCATTATCTTTGTTAAGTTGTGTATGTCTTGGTTTCTTTGACCTTTGTTTGCTCCTAATGTTGCTTGTTCTGAAGTTATTTGAACCCCTTTAGGGCCTATTCAGTTAGTGTAGTGACTCTTGAATGCCTATGAACATGTTTATTCACCTACCCCCCCCCCCTGAATCCTTACATTTGTCTGTGTTGAGACTTTCAGTGTTGGTCATTGGCCTTAGCATGCTTATTGTATCCCATATCCTTCAGTATATGTTTGTGATCTCGGCATGTTTTGAATTGTTACATTAAGGTGTTAGGCTAAACTTTTGACATAAACTGAATCATATTCTGTTAATTAGACCTCTATAACAAGCCTTGAATGTTTATCTACTATTTGTGTGCCATTCATGCTATTTAGAATCTCTGTAAAATGCCCTGGCATATGTGTCTGTGATCCTACCCCATTGCTAACATGATGCCCTCTCCTTTCTATGATTATGTGGTTTGGTACAATGTTGCCTATATACTTAGCACAATTCCCAATCATGTTTCAACTTGTCTATTGATGATAACCCCAGTCAATCCTGCAAACATGCTCTTATCAGCCTCCCTTTAGCATGTGACTGTTATCGTGTTAAGTTTTTTTTTTAGTTTTACATTAAGCTGGCTTTTAAATTCTGTGATTTGGTCAACTGTTTGCCTAATATGTTCAGTTTGGTCATATTTGTTTAAACCCCTCCAATACAGTCCCTCAACTTTAGTATTTTCTTTTTCACCTCTTGTTTAAGTTCTTTTCTTAGCCGGCTGAAAGCCAAGGCTATTCAGGTTTTTTCCTTTGACCTCTCTCTAGTGCGAGCACTGCTCGAGGTCCATGTGAGGCCCTTGTGAACTCTGACACACTAGAACTTGGTCTCTAGTCCCTCTTCTGAATGATCTCTATTAACTCCCCTAGTGTGAGCACTGCCCTGGGTTCTTGAAGCCCTTAGGAACTCTGACACACTAGGGACTTGGGTTTTGTATGCTCAGCTTTGATATATGGGTGGATCACTCAACAACTGGTTATTTTGTATCTATGAACATGAATTTTGGAACTGTTGTGGGTTGAAGGCCTGGCCTATCCAGGTGTATTGGGGCCTAATGTAGGCTCCCTATAGTTATACTTATTCTGTAATTTCTTACATTAAATTCTGGTCTGTAATAACTATTTGTAATAACATTTGGGGTGTTAGTGAAATTTGGAAAGGGATTTTTGTTTACTTGCAATAAATTGGGTAGAAATCCTGCCTATAGGTTCAACAATATGCTATTGCCTGATCAATTATCATGTGTTAGAAATCATACCTATAGGTATCCAATTATGTTCAGCCATTATATGTCAACAATCCTGCCTATAGGTTCAATACTTGATTTAATTGTGTTAGAAATCATGCCTATAGGTATCCTATTATGTTCAGCCATTATATGTTAGCAATCCTGCCTGTGGGTTCAGTACTTGGTTCAATCGTGTTAGAAACCATGCCTATAGGGAGTTGTATATACAATGTGTATGCAAAAACCTCAATCACATGTTGTTCTGTTTACAAATTTTAGAAATTATGTCTATAGGATCTAAAATTGGAACAAATTGTAGAAAGCATGCCTATAGGTTTGAATCAACCTAATTTATGCCCGTTTATTCATGAGTTTCCAAACACTGTGATGTTACTCTCACTAGAAAACATTCCTATAGGATTAAAACAGATACTTCTAAATGTGCTTTTGTAATTACCACTGTTTATTATTGCGTAACACGCCTAGACATCATGCCTATAGGTTTAATTCCTATGTTTAAAAGTAGTAGGCAAGTCATACAGGTTTTGGAAAGTATAATGGCTTTTGTGTATAACTATCCGCCCATTAAATCCAGATTCATATAGAGATCTTTTCCATAGGTTTATGCACTCTTAACTATTTAAAATCAGCAACTGTCTTTGTTAATCTGACTTGCGTGCATTTGTTGTCTAATTGCGAGGCCAACTTGAGCCCTTACTTGCTTATAAGTGAAAGTCCAATGTGTTTTGTATGTCGCCTAGCTTTTGACATTTTTAAGCATCCTAAGTTAAAGTCTAGAACCACCCTGAAATAGAGGTCCAAATGCCTCCTGGACCATAGGCCTGGGACGGGTAGTGCACGCAACGGACACGACTTAGAATTGACTAGTGCGCTTCAGGTAAATAACTTAAAGATAGTAATTGGGTAGCAGGAGATGATAGTCTGTGCCTGCTGAATAATATGAGTAACACCCCATCTCGGGGGAGTTACGAAGTATTATTTATATTTCACGGGCTGATCCTTTAGGCTAAAAAACTTAGGACCCCCCCCCCCCGCCCCTTCTTTGTCTTTCAATTGATTATTCATGTTTAGTAATTCCTTGTTTCTTAGCTTTGATCACATAGAATAATTCATATAATTGAGTTCGGCTGGGACCCACAATTGTGGACCTCGAAGAGTGCCTAACACCTTCTCTTCGAGGTAATTTCGAGCCCTTACCCAATCTTTGGTGACACAAACTGGTTAGACAGAGTTACTTACAAATAGGTGCCCTAACGCACCTTAATTTGTTAGGTAACGACTCTCTCTTTTAAAACCTTCCTTAAAAGAGTTGTCACGTGTCGAAACCCGATTTCGCGAGAAAAAGGGGTGCGAGAATCTTTAGCTCCCAGTTTCACAATCAATTAGAGCTCTCCTTGTGGCCAAGAATGGCCTTCACAAAATCGTAGGAATCGCTTCATCAACCTGACAATCAAGAATGACAAAATCTGATGGAAACACAAACTTTCCGACCTGCACAAGTGCGTTATCAAGTATACCTGATAGCCTCTTCACTGTTCGATCGGCTAGCTGTAGTAACATGGATGTGTTTCTTGCCCTTCCAATGCCTAACCTCTTATAGATAGACAAGGGCATCAAGTTTATGATCACCCCCAAATCACACAATGCTTTGGCAAAAGCATAGCTGCCTATGGTGCACGAAATTGTGAAACTCCCTGGGTCAGATAGCTTCTCAGCTATAGGACTTGTCATGATAGCACTACAGGTCTGAGTCAGTGTCACAATTGCCAAGTCTTGAAAGTCTAAGTTGCGAGACATCAATTCCTTCATCATTTATGCATAACCGGGCATCTCTCTCGAGGCATCAATCAGTGGAATGTTCACCTGAATCTGCTTCTAACATCTCTATAAATTTCTTATATTGCTCATCCTTATGATATTTGGCCAACCTCTGGGGGAAGGGTTCTGGCGGTCGCTTCTTTCCTGTGACTTGAGTTAGATCCTTCTCGGGCACTTTTTCTAATGCTTTCTCTTGCACTTTCACAATCTCCTTTGCAACATCTTTCTCTTTGCTTAGTTCCTCCTGGGTTGGCTGCATTCTTACTTCTGTTAGCTCAGTTAACTCATCTACCTGAGTTGATATTGGCACGATGTATCTCAGTTGGTTGGCTTTCGCGAGCAATTTCTTGCTCTAGATCAAGATCTGTACTGTTTCTCAGACTCACCACCATCAGCTGCTTCGGGCCCTGCTCTTTCGGATTGACATGTGTGTCCGCAGGTAACGTCCCTTAGGGACGATTATTCAGAGCCATAGATATTTGCCCCAATTGAATCTCAATACCTTTTATCATTGAGTTATTTGCTTCAACCTTCTCTAGCATTTTTCCCTTGGACTCAATCAGTTGTTGCAGCATTCTTTTAATTTCAGTCAACCCATCATCTTGTCTCACTATCTGTTGTTGTTAAGGCTGTTGATAAGCTGGCTGCTGATTTTGCTGATTGTATCCATGTTGCCTTTGGTAAGGCACGACTTGACTCTCTGGTCGTATAGCTATAGGATTGTTGTTGTTATTGTAATGTTGATGTGCTGGTCTATACTGCTGATTCTGCTGCCCCCAATTCTGACCACCTTGCCTCTGGCCTCCATAGTTGCCCACATAGTTCATATTCTCTAGATAGTTCTGATTGTCACTTTCACCACTCCACGAGCACACGTATTGTTGGTTAATGCATGGTGTGCATAAGCCTCCATTAGTCGTGTCAACTATGTGTACCTGCTTCTGGCCTGATTCATCAATCTTCTTGGTGAGGATACTCATTTGCGTCATCAGAGTAGCCATATTCTCGGCTATGGAGTTGTTTAGGCCTAAAGCTATTGAGTGAACTACAAGGGTGATTGTAGTGTCTCTTGTCATCCATCCTGAGTTTTGAGCCATTTATCTAGCAGGACCTTACATTCTCTGAATGGTTTGCTCAAAAATGCTCCACCTACTGAAGCATCAATATTGGCCTTCAAGCGGTCTTCCAATACCATGTAGAACCTTCGCCCCAACATTTGATCAGGAATGCCATGGTGTGGACACTTTACCAACATCCCCTTAAACCTCTCCTACGTTTCTTGCAGTGTTTTAGCTGGTGTTTGCCTGAAGCTCAGTATTTTATCAACTTGCTTGGCAGTCTTATTTGGTGGGTAGAACTTGTTCATAAACTGCTTGACTAATTCCTCCCAAGCAGTGATTGAGTTAATGGGGAGCGAATTAAGCCAAGCCTGAGCCTCTCAGGTCACTGAAAACGGAAACAATAACATTCTGATTGCTTCTGGTGTCACATTCGGCTGCCTTTGAGTGACACAAATTTACAGAAAATTTTTCAAGTGATGCTGTGGATCTTCAATGTAAGACCTAGAGAACAGTCCATTGTTCTGCAACAGATATAGCATGTTGTTTGTGATTTGAAATGATTCTTCTTTTATTTGAGGGACTTCAATTGCAGTTGCTAAATTTTCAGCAGTGGGTTGTGCTCAATTATACAAGGCTGCTTCTGGCACAAGAGGTGCCACACTCTGATTATTCAGGTCATTCACAGTGTTTCTATTTTCCAAAACGTCACCTATGCCTAATTCAATTTGTTCTCTTGGGTGTTGTTGTCATTTTTCCTTCCTGCTTGCATGATTTAATGCCTTGAATGCTTTCTCAGGATCTGGTAATGCTTCAAACAATTCACCAGTTCTCAAGGAGTTTCTAGGCATGCACCTATAACACACAAGACTACAAATGTTAGAATTTCATTGTAATGATGTTAAAATCAAGAGAGTTGACTAAACTAAGAATCCTAACAATTCCGCTTATTGTAATTAATAACACCAGTAATTCCCCGGCATAGGTGCAAAAATTTGATCACGCCCAACAATGCCTCCTAAGAGGTGTAGCAGTTGTTGCAAATATAATTCAGTTTACAAGTCCCCAGTCGAATCCCACAGGAATTAACCTTTTAATCACAACCACTAGTTTCACAAGAATTCAAATAATCAACCTTAAGAAATATTAAATATCGATTTGAGTGTTTACTAACTAGTAGAAGTGTAATTTAAATGCAGTAATTTATAACTAACACAGAAAATGTTGTGGATAATATTGGAAGAGTCTAAGGTTATGATTTTGCCTATTGTCGGAATCCTCCCTGCTACGTTTTCTATAACTTTGCCGAAGTATTCTCAACCGATCGTGAGTACTTTGGGTGTCATAATTCTCTTTCGAGCAACTACCACAATTTACTAGACGTATTCTTCCGAACTACGCTAGCTGACACTAGTTTACCGCTCACTATGAGCACCAAGGTTTCATTATTCCTAATCCCACCTTTAAACCTTTTGAATTGATTCCTCATATACGTTAGGAGTGATGTTGTTTAAAAATTACCTAAATGTATATCCTTTTCCATGCAATACACACTAAATAGGTACAGTCAATTGAAAGCTCTTTAATCAACCACAATGATAACGTAGTTGAACAAGTAGAGAAAAATCAAAAGCAAATTTATATTAAACGTAGTAGAAATCATCCTCCAATAGGTTCCATCAAACCTAGATTGGAGAGTTTAGCTACTTATAATTGTATAAACAATCATAGTAATATTCAAGAGCATTAAACTACAAATTCAAGAACAACAAAGAGAAAAACTCTTGTGATTCGTGCTCTAGAGTGTTCCGTAGTCTTTTGCCTCTCCAATAATTTCTAACCCTTCAAAACCTAACTTTAAGAGGTATTTATATGGTGGGGCCGAGGTCTAAACGTCCAAACATAATGAGAAAATAAAAGTGGCTCGGATAAGCATCGTCGGTGAGGGGCATTGTTAGAGGCACCAACATTACTCCGCGAGGCGCCAACATTACCCCGCGAGGCGCTATCAGAGGCGCCAATGACAATGACCTAGACGAAGCCTTGCACTATCTAGGGCTGTGGCTTTTCATTGCCTTGCACGCCTTCTTTTATTGCTTCATTTTTTAGCTTTGAGGTACCATTTCATGCGACTTTTCTCCACTTCATGTCCAAGCATTCCTACAGGTAAAATGTAACGACCCGACCAGTCGTTCTGAGCCCTAGCACACCGTTCAGCAGTTTGAGGCCATGAGCAGCTTCAATTCAGGCATTACGACTTGTATGCGTGGTCAGAATTGAATTTCAGAAAGTTCGGGGTTGATTTGGAAGGAGAATTCTCATTTCGAAAGCTTTAAGTTGAAAGAATCGACTAGGATTGGATTTTAGAGTAAACGACATCGGAATCGGGATTCGAAGGTTCCAGCAGGTTCGTATGAGGATTTCAGACTTGGGCGTATGCCCGGATCGGGTTTTGAATGACCCGGGAGCGTTTTGGTGCCTATTTCTGAGGTTAGCATTTTGGAAGAAATTTCATAGGTTTCGGTTGCAGTGCATTTCAGTGTTACCGACGTCCGTTTGGGAATCTTAATCTGTGAGTAGCTCCGTATGGTGATTCTGGAGTTGGGAGCGCGATCGGAAGTGAATTCGGATGTCCGTGGAGCATTTTGGAGTCATTTGGCTAAAGATAGAAATTTGGAGGTTTTTGAGAAGTTTGACCAGAGGTGGACTTTTTGATATCGGGGTCGGAATCCGATTCCGGAAGTTGGAGTAGATCCGTAATGTCGAATACGACTTGTGCGCAAAATTTGAAATCAATCGGACGTGATTTGATAGGTTTAAACATCGAAAGTAGAAGTTTGAGATTCTAAAGTTCATAAAGTTCGGATTGGAGTTTGATTCGTGGTTTTAGCGTTGTTTGATATGATTTGAGGCCTCAAGCAAGTCCGTAATATGTTTTGGGACTGGTTGGTATGATTGGATGGGGCTCCGGGGGCCTCGGGTGGATTCCGGATGGTTAACGGATCAAAAATGAAATTTTGAGAAGTGCTGAAGCTGCTGCTTCTGTCATAATCGCACCTGCGGTTGGTGGACCGCAGGTGCGAGACCACATATGCGGTCCTCCCATCGTAGAAGCGGCCCAGGGCAGGCCAGGCCAGGAACCGCAAATGCGGCTCCCAAGCCGCAGATGCGGCCTGGAGATGGCAGATGCGGTCCCAGCTCTTTGGCCCATTTTTGCAAATGCGGCCCGTTTCTCGCAGATGCGGTCCCCTGACCGCAAATACGGAAATGCTGGAGGTAGTGAGGTTCTTTTAAATCGGGGGTTGGGTTCATTTCAACCCTATTTTCTTCCATTGGAGCCGAATTGGAGCAACTTTGAGGTGCCATTTTCACCACCAAGCATGAGGTAAGTAATTTATGTTAGTTTTGAGTTAAATACATGATTATATACGGATTTGGACATAAAAATTTGTAGAAAACTTGGGGTTTGAGGGAAAACCTAGAAAATTGATATTCTTGGAATTTGACCACGATTTTGGGTATGGAATTAAGAGAAAATCATATATCTGAGTTCATGGAGTCATGGGTAAGCTTAATGTTCAAAAACTTTCGGAATCCGGGCACGTGGGCCGGAGGGTGTTTTTATCAACCTTTCGATCAGGGTTAGAAATTGTTATAAATTGGAGTAATATGAGTAGTTTATCGTATATTGATGAATTTGCATAATCATTGGCTAGTTTTGGGAGTATTTAGCATCGATTCAAGTCTTCGGAAGGGCGTGGAATTGCCAGTTATGGATCTTCGGAGCGAGGTGAGTCTCCTTTCTAACCTTGTAAGAGGAAATTATCCCCATAGGTGAGTTAATTGGTTATGTGCTCCTATTTGTGGGGGCTACGTATGCACGAGGTGACGAGAGTCCGTGCGTAACTACTATTATGTTTAAGTCCGGGTAGTCTA